CTACTCCGGGCAGCAGCAAGTAGCAGTTTTAGCCTTCTGTCCCCTACGGCTCCCAGCCCAGCTTCTCGCTGAGCAAGCAAGCAAGCAGCAGCCCCTGCAAGCAGGCAGCAGCAGCAGCAGCAGCACAGCAGTCAAAGTTCCTCTTTCCCACTCTGCAGCATTCAGAAGCCTTCGCTGAAACATCAGCACCAGGCAGCCCTACCAACCTGCAGTCCTCTGAGCAGTAGGAAGAGGAGAATGGAAGCAAAAGTAGCTCAAACGATGAAATTTTGGTTGCTGTGTAACACTGTCAGATGAGGTTAGTAGAGACCATCCTTAGAAGTATGAAAGTTCAGAGACCAATACCAGTTAAGTACATCTTGGGAAATTAAAAAACAAACAAACAAATAAAAAACCCTAGTTGGTCTTCAAGACGCTCTTTTGAGCTGTAATTTGACTTCTGCATGTATTATGGACAGTCGATTAAATTAGGGCTAAATGCGGAGTGAGGGCAGCTTGCAGTTTAACAAGAATGTTATACAAACATCTTACACACATTTTTTTTTTTTCTTCCCTGTGAATAGGATAGGATAGCTCTGAAAAACTCTGTTCAAAGAAAAGAAGGTAACCCGAAATTGCTAGCTGCAGCAACCTGGAGACCTAGTGTAACTCAATCGCTTTGGACTTTAAGAGTTTATAAAAGCAGTATGGAAGGAGTAAGAAGCAACCAGTATTGCTTCATGAGGAAATGCTTGTGTTTATGAGAATATTAAGAATGTCTGACAGTATTTTTTTTCAAATACTGTGTGTCATTTAAAGCATCAAGATGAAAATTATATTGGCTTCCAACTCCCTGCTAGTTTCCTGCACACGATCACCTCCTTTCCCGGTAGTCTAAAAATAATGGAAAATATTAAAAAGTGAAAAAAAGGATACAGTTGAGAAGCCAGTTACTTTCAAGAGGCAATAATACTGGAGATAAAATGAATGTTCTGCGTGTATAGGGTCTTGAAGTAACGATGACCATAAGAAGACAGATGACGATTAAGGTCTATAATTATTTTCCAGAAGTGAAGTGACATTATGTGAGGAATTGATGGCATGTGATCCTGAAAATGAAGGTGTGGATGAAAGTCTAGGTTCAGTGTTCAAACCAGCCCCTTGAATGAACATGCATTTTCCACCAAGTAGAGGGAGTCTGAGGTGAAAGCAGACTGATATTTCAAAGTTTCTGCTTTGAAATCCCATGCAGGTACAGATTTGCTAAGTGCATCAAGGGCCTATAAGCCCCTTAGTACCACTATCAGGAACCTGCTCTCCTGATCACACAACACAGTTGAGACTGCATGGGTCTGTAGCCTCCTACTCTATGTGCACTGCAACTGCAGTCGTTCGTATGTCTCTTACCTATATGTGTGCGTTGGTGCACGTGAGCCTATAGATGGTCATGCTGCTAATATATAATCAGTATATACTGATAACCTTGGTCTCAGCCCTGTGAAACACTGAGCTCCACTTCCAGTCCTGCAAAGCATCTAGATGCATTCCTGAACTTAAATGCTTATGCCCGTGGCTAAATGCTTTGACAGCTCAGGTCCCAATTCCTCCACATTCCCCTGCAGGAGGGAGCAGAGGAGGAGTAAGGAGGCTGCTGACCCCCTGCCTCTACGGTGAGTGATGGAACTTACTGTTCCATTTACAGTTCCATTTTAAAAATAGATGCTGGGCAAGTAAGCAATTAAAATTCAAGAAGGAAAGCAGAACTATCTGGCAGTTGTTCAGTAAGCCTAACTTGTATAAAAAAGATCTGCACATAGCTGGTATAAGTATAAACAGTCAGCAGCATGAGATTATGAAAAACAATTCTTGCCTGGCAAATGTAATTACTTTTAACAAAATTTAAAAACCAGGGAGTGAAGAGAACACAGCACAAATATTCTCCCTGCAGGCTGGGTCATTCAGCTGTACAAGGAATAAGCTCCCATAAAACATCTGAACTATCGTCTTCAGGCGTATCGATGCAGACAGGTGCAACAGGGTCCAAATTCCATGCTGGACATATGCTGGCTCGGCGCCATTCCCAGTCAAACAAACTCGCTAAGAGGCTTGGTAGAGTGGCCTGAACACCACATGGTGACACCGCTTCTGAGTCAGAGCCGGTTCATGCCTGGTCAATGAGCTCAGATGTGTCTTCATGCACCAAGACACCTCCTATCTCCTCCGTGGCATTGCATTCACCAGGAGAAGTGATGAACAATAGTTGTCCCATGACTGTCTCACCATTATCCAACACTTTCTGGGCTCCACCTCCTCCCCCTCCCCAGTTCTCTTCTGGGTAAATCACTCCCTGTCAATGGCCTGGCAGCAGAAGCACCATTGTTCCATCTAGTGGAGAGCTATTCAGTGTTGATGGCCTTTGATTTCTCTTTCCAAACATAGGCCTCTCCTCTGCCAGATAGGATTTTGCTGGTAGGGTTGTGCTGGCAAATCTTCCTAACATAAGCACAGCCTGTAGTCCCCGAAGATTTATTGTGGCCTGAATTGGTCTAACTTCCATCAATTCTGTGAATATAATAAGTGCAGACAATACCAAATTCTCTCAGAAAATGTCCGATATAAAATAGATACACTAATTTACTGTGAAGGTTACATTCGTAAACAGCGTTCAGAAGAAAAGTAAATAATGGCATTCATAGTTTGGCACGGACATGCTGCCAATGTGTCACATCCTGACGGATCGGGGATATGTCTGTGTCAAACTATGAATTCCGTTTTTGCTTTTTGAATGCCGTTTACAATTGCAACTGTCCATGTGGATTATTGCATCTATTTTTATAGCCAAGGCTCTGTCTGGGAAGATGTAACAGAGCAATCAACAACACTGACTGGTTCTATTTTGCTGGAACAATGGTGTTCCTGCGAGCCGGGCTCTTCAATCTTCATGCACAGGACAGGAGGGCTGGGGTCTGGGCATCCCCTCATATTGAAGAACACGTCCAAAGAGGAACGGAAGTGTTCTATACAGGGACATTTGTCAAAGTGAGGTCCCCCTGCTAAAAGCAAGAGGAGAGCAGTCAAGCCAAAGACTTGACAGTCTTTGACAGTGGTCATGAGGTCTGGTGGTGGGGCACTGCAGAGAGATCCAGATCTGAACTACTGGGGAAGCTGGGAAGCCACACAACTGCAGCCACAGAGACCTGTCACGGAGCTGGTGCCACCCTCCTCACTGCTGTCCAGGGTGGGAGGGGAGAAGGGGAGGCTCGGGTGCTCCCTAACACTCCCGTTCCTCTCCCTTCCCTCCCCTGTACATTCTTGCCCAGACACTGCAATTTCAATCAATCCGTACCACAACCAACCTGAGAGTCGTATGGTTGAAACACCTACTAGCAAAAGTGCAATTCTTTGCTTTCTTATACATTATTCCTGTCACCTGTATCTTGATAATCGGTCTTTCCCTGAAGGATTGCCCTTGGATATAGAGCTAAGCCAGCTGGGGCCTGAGCAGCTGCAGCAGCATTTGGGTGGCAGTGCTGGATGCTGCTGTCTGACGGGTGGCACCTGCCACAGCACCTTCAGCCCGGGATATACCTCAGCAGCACAGGGCTGAGGAGCAGTAGATGGTTCCTCCCCACACCATCCAGTTCCAGAAGTCTGCTGTGGGGGTTCAACATTTGGATATCCTCACTAGGCGCTGGCATCCCACCAGGCCAAGGACTGCTTTTCACTTTGTCACCTTGGATTTCCCACATCAGCCTGCGCTCAGTTTGTCCATCCTCTCCTTAAGCCTCCCGTGCAAGAGCTGCCTTAGGTGCTTATCTACCACCAGCATCTAACCCCACTCGCAGAAGGCCTTGCCGCTTGACTGAACCCCCGGCACTTCCAGTAACTAGAATTTACCCGAAACCCCTCAGCAAAACGTTCTGGGGGAAAAAAAAAAGAGCCCTGCTAGTTAAAAAGAAAGATAAAAAAGAAATCGCAGCAATTACCCAGCCAGTAAATATGGTGCTGAACGGAAGGTACCGGTGTGCTGAGGGAGATGTTCTTCTGCCAGGAGAGGCGACAAGGGGGCGGGCAGAGGGTCAGGTGGGACAGGGGGTCAGGTGGGACAGAGGGTCAGGTGGGGCAGAGGGTCAGGTGGGGCAGAGGGAAGCCCCCTCAGGAGGCACCGATGCCGGCGCGGGAGGAGGCTGAGGCCTTGCGGCGGCCGCAGACGCCCCGGAGCCGGGGAAGCGCCCGCACGGTACTTTTCCCTTCCAACTTTTCGGGAGCGCCGGGCTCGGCAGGTGCACCGGGGGGTGGCGGGGTGGGAGGGGGAGATGGGGAGAGGTCTGTGTGCGCCCGGTTCGGGCCCTCCCGCACCCGGCGGCGGATGCGACGGGCGGCACCGGCACCGGGGAGCGGGGCTTCAACGCCGCGGCTCCG